TACCAAAGCCTTGAGTAGGGAACATTTTGGAAGAAACAAGGTGAAGCTGGGATTATTAAAGTCTAATGGAGAACCTGATTCTCTATCAGTTGGCTATGTAAAACACCTTCAGGTAAAAATAGCTAAACTGTTTTCTGGTCAAGCCTAACTCACATCGATACTGTTGCAGGTAAACACGCATGACGATCATAGAAACTAAAGGTACAATTATGAACTGCAAAAGAAGAGCTGCTAAAATCTTTTTCAAAAAAAAAAATTGATCGGGCATTAGGTTCTTGTACCACAAGTTAGTGGTAATGTGTTTGTTCTGCATGCCTTCTCGAAAATGTTAACAAAATTGACTCAACTGCCACATCATCTGACTTTTCAAAGTCTGCATGTCATATCTTGTCTTTCAAATCCCTTCATCCCCTTTGCACGATAATGTTTTCCCACAAACCTACCGTCGTTTTCAGGACTATTTAGAACCTGTTTCTCTCTCTTCTCATCATTAACCCTCCTTCCCATAAAACTCTCTTTCTCTCTCACAGCAAGTCATGAACATTCATCTCTTCTATATCTCTGTGATCCTCTCTTCGCTTCTCTCTCTCACTCTACTTACATACCAAATACTCCTATAATGGCAATCGAATGATCGTTTCCTTCTCCCACCATTAACACCACTCCCACTTCCCTATCATCCTTAAAATCATCCCCAGAAATTCATTATTCCACTCTTTCCAATACTACTGTATCTACACCTGGTTCCTCCTCATTTCCTGTAGTTTTTTCCTTTTCTATCAAACCCTATTTCCCTTCCATATATTGAAAACCCTATGTCTCATCATTCCTCTGATCTCATCAAAGAACACTCAGGAGGTTTTACCTCTCATGTGTTAGAGGTCTCTGAGGATGATCCTGATCAGTATTTGAACTCCTCCATTTTGGACTTAGTGGCTCTCACAAAGTCACCAGAAAAGGAAGCGGCGCATAATATCATGGATATCACTGCTAAGAGTCTGATCAATGAAAGCGCATATCTCTTGTCTGAGTATCAGGGGGAAGAAACTCCACTCCTAGGCGATGTAAGAACCATAGTACTCCTTGAGTCTTTGGCTCATGAGACTGTCCCAGAAAAACCTGCTGAAGAACCTGATTCTCTTCCAGGTAAACCCATTCCTGCACGTCCTGATCATCCTAAGCTCTTAGACTCCACTTCCAAGTCACCCACTATCAGGTTGCACCAGAAAGAGGGCTTCGGGTCTACATTGCAGAAAAGTAAGAGGAGTGTCAGGACAAGAAAAAAGAGGTCGATGAATCAAGGGGAATTTGTTACTGACAAGAGCGTTCCAGTAGATAGGGATGACAAAAATGCTCTAAAGGAACCTGGTTCCTTAGCGGAACAATCTATAAAAGCTCAAAAGTCTGTGGATGAAGCTTCTGATGAAGCTATTGAGAAACAAAATGGTGCATCCGTGAAGGGCAGCAGCAAGTCTAAGAAGAGTCCAGTTGAGCAAGCCATGTCTGAAGATGATACTGTGGGGCTAGTAAGTTGGAAAGGAAAGTCTATTGAAGGATCTAGAAAACGAAAACGAGAAATGGTAAGGGAACCTGGTTCTCTGAGGACTATCCCCAGTGACAGTGGTCTTTGGCAGGAGAGATTAAGAACTCATAAAGTCTTGTGGGGTCGTACATTTGACCCAGCAATTTCAGAGATGGCTGGTATGAGACAAATTCTGGAGATAGTGGAATTTCAGCAATGGGAGCACTTGTTTCAGGAGAGCATGCCTCTGGTGTACGAAGACGCGGTCCAAAATTTCTACGCATCTCTTCATTGTTGAGGGGGATCACATTTGTGCACTAATAATGGAATAGACATTGTACTCGACGCTTCAGCATTGGGAAAGGTTCTCAAACTTCCATGTGAAGGAATGTCCTCAGTCAAAGGTATCTGTGGTGTCAACTTTAGGAAAGCTATCATGAAAGAGCAAGCTATTCAGCAAGGGGAACAGGTACATAAGAAGGTGTTACTTCCTGAGTATCAGCTTCTTTTTGAACTGGTCAATAAGGTGCTCTTACCTCGTTCTGAGAGGCGGTCTATTGCTACAAAATCGGATATGGTCTTAATAGAGGCTCTTGGTGCATTTGTCCCAATCAATCTTCCAGCAATCATGATAGATCATATGCAAAAGGTGGCGAACTTTAAAGGTGGGAATCATGGGCTACCATATGGCTTTCTCCTCACTCAAGTATTTAAATTCTACAAGGTCCCCTTGGGTAATCCCAGAGTGGGCACACGCAAGCAAACCTTCTCTAAAACCACTCTACAAGAATGTGAGTGCATAGAAAGAGTTGGTGGAAACATCTCGACCATTTCTCAGCTGATCAATGCACAAAATGCAGCTTCTGAAGAGATCAGAAGGCTGAGGGCTCAGAATGCCATACTGGAAACTCAGCTCAGTCAGGCAGTTAAAGGACCCGGTTCCGTTAATGAAGAAGTTGCTCGCCTGACAAAGGAAAATGATAAGATTTGCCCAAAACTGCTTGAAGAACAACTGTTTGCAAATGCCAGACTGGACCTGGTTCTCAAAACCATTGCTGCCTCCTCTTCCAAGCCTCCCTCTTCTAGTGCCCCCTAGGATCCTCTCAGTGGCCAGCTATCTTTTGCTCTGATGTTTTGCGGTTGTTGTTTTCTTTTTGTTTGTCTTTTTGTGATGGCATGCTGGATTTCACCATTACTGCTCCTGTTTTGCTCAGTCCATTGTTAATATTAATGAAACAACTCCTTTTTTGCATGTACTATGTTGTTTTGCTCTAGCTTCTCTTTTCTATCATGTTGTGTGCACATATGTGGCATGAGTTGGCTTTGTTAGACTTCTTTATGTTGATTGTCTGCTTGTGTATCTTTTTAATAATGCCAAAAGGAGGAAATATTAGGTAGATAGTAGTGTATGGTGAGGGGGATCAAAAGCAAAAGGCGAGGGGGAAATTGTGAAGAAAAAAATTGATGCAAATATAGGGGATCTGATTAAGAAGGAATCAAAAGCAAAAGGTCAGGGGGAACTTGTGTAGTTTCTGGTACCTCATCTGGTTATTTCTGCTCTCAACAAATACTATCAATGCATAAGTTTGTCATCATCAAAAAGGGGAAATTGATGGGTTTTTCAATGTTTTTGCCTTATGTTTCTTATGTTTTGATGATCTAACAAATTTATTGTTAAGAACCAGATAAAGAACCTGACCCACTTGGTATACATTTCAAGTGAACAATGTCCAGTCTAATCTCTAGCAAATGAGCGAACAACTACAAGGAGGAACACAACAGGGACCTGGTCCCTTAGGGTTCTCTGACAGAAGTACAAGTCAACTATACAACTGGAACGCAACTACAAAAAGTGACTATCCGCAACTGTTACAAAGAGGAACACAACACGGACTTGGTCTCTTAGGGTTCTCTGATAGAAGTACAAGTCAACTATACAGTTGGAACGCAACTGCAGAAAGTGACTGTCCGCAACTGTACACGTGACAGTGCAGCAGACAGTGCAGCAGTTACTTCTCATTTGGAAGAAACATGTACCAAGAATTGACATCACCATTGTGATGTCTTTTGTAGTATAACAACCTGGTGCAAGGCAAAAAAGATTCACTTGTGCATTTAGTGATATTCTCTCAAGCATTAAAGTGTTCATCCGGCATTGAAGTCACTAGTGTGTCAAGAACAAGAAGACAACTCCACTAAAGGATCAGTTTCACAATGAGCCTATATGTATCCGTAGTTGAGTTGTAATCTTGTTATTTGTTCTTCATTGTAACTCCTATCTTGCTTTCTTAGAAGCTATGTTTTAGGGAACCCAAAATCCGTAAACTTTCTGAGTTTATGTTGTGACTAGGTTTAGTCATAAGTTTAAAGTCTTTGTAACTAGAGAGTCACAAAGTGGCTTATGGTAAAAGTATCACAAGTTAGTTAAGTTGAATTCTTTGTAATAGAGTCATTACAAAGTGACTTGTAATAGTGAGATTACAAGTTAGTGAAGTTGAAATCCTACAAGTGTAGGTCGTGGTTTTTGTCCCCTTGTGTGGAATTTTTTCACGTAAAATCCCTTGTCTCTTTTACTTACTGCTTCATAAGTATTCTCAATAGAAACCCATAAAGGATCAGGTGCTCTATAGTTTGGTGGACTCATATAAGCTATCAATTTTGAAACTACACCTCCTAATATTAAAATAATTAGTCACTAATAAACTTGGCATATAATGAGTGACGCAATTAAAGTGATATTTCATTATTAAATGTGGTTATAAACTTATTATGTTTCTTAATCTTAAGTTGTAGTGGAGCTTACTATTTTATGTTTGAATTTGACATATGTTAAACTATTTGATTTTGTTGAAGTTAAAATTGTGTTATATTCATTGTTCCAATTTACTTGTTTTAGTAGTATTGGCTCATATTGCATGTTGTTATTTTTTTTGTTAGAATTGATAGATTAGTTTTGTCAAATATTTGAATAATGTTATAATATTATATTTATAAATATTAATTTATTTTATCAAACATGAATTCCATGATGTTCTTACAAAACGTATGTTTTTAGTTTTTGTAAGTATCTACACTAAATATTATTAATTTGGAAAATATATATAAATTATTTTTACAATATTAGTTATAAATATATGATTACTAATTAATTTATATTCACATAAAAATATACATCTTAAATACCAAATATAATATAATTTATACAAAAATTTATAGGCATATATTTATTATATTAACTTTTATGTTTTGATAATTACTTCATTTAAAACTTAATCTAACTGTGTAATTACATTTGTGCAACCAAACAATAAACTTGCAATTACACTGTGACAAACAAACATGTCGTAATTACTAGGTTGTGTAATTACTACCCTAGTAATTACACCAATTCCAATTACCTGGCGACTTTCCAAACAGACCCTTAATTAAAGAGTAAATTTCACATAACACCCTTAACCTTTAAGGTTTGAGAAACAACAAGACAATAAACTCCTAGGATCTTAAATCAACGGCCAAAACTGAGTTGGATCATTGTATGTACACTCAAAATGTGGAAAAAGTACCAAGCAAAGCTAAAGTTAGTATGGACTGGCCAGAAAATAGCTTTAGATTTCAGTGTATTATCATGCAGCTCAACAACTTAAAGACTACTACAAACAATAACCAATGGCTTAACTATTCAGAATACCCTCGTCACTTAGAAGATTTTCGACTTTAGACATCAGTGGCGAACGAGGACCAAAACATATAGTCGACAAAAATGCTCCATAGAGTAAGCAGTGAATACTAAGCTGGAATAGATTTACCTTCATCTCTCTGTGACATTGTACTGCTGCAAATCCGGAATCTGTTTCCTTTGCATTACCACTTGTAGCATGAGTTGCAAAATGAGTAACAGATGGCGTCCTACTCTCGAGCCATCTTAAATTAATGGGATCGACAACTTCTTTCAAGTAACCACCACCTTCCGCAATGATAAAACCCCAGATTTTTGGTGTTATATTGGTAACACAGTTCAGAAATTGGCTAGTTACCTCAGCAAATTCTGCATTTCGGTCATGAATATTTGTAAAAGTAACCCTAATCCTATCAAGCAGTGTGCATTTGCCACAAATTTGACATGACCAAAATGAAATTTCTTCAATGTGCCTCCCCTTTGGAAATGAGTTCCATATAGAGCTTTTGACAAGACTTAGTAAGGTCTCACCAGCAGTCGTCCAAAAATTTGACAAAGGCACCACGAGAGAAGATTCAGATTCAAATAGATGGTGGGTTGCACCTGCGAGCAACAAGGAATATGCTGCGCTCTTTCTGCTCATACGAAAAGCATCGTTTTGATGTTTATCGCATTCAGGATCTAGGGCCAGCAGGTCACTTTCATAGACTTTATATGCAGAAGCCAGTGTCATGTAGGCCTGCAAAGAGACATGGTGAAGAGGATGCAATCTGAAGAGTCGATGTAAATTTTCTCCATTTGGTGTCAGAACTACGTCGACGTGATCTTGAGTAAGCAGGATCTCGAGCTTCTCACAGCAACACTTGGGGTTACTAAATGACAGAAAGTCACTTATAGCATCATCCAAGCAATCCGCAAGCTTCTCCATTAAACGATCCCTATAAAAATGGTCACCAGAAGCCATATTTGAACAGTCGAGATTTAAAATTAAGATTTCCTACATAACAAAATTCGCAAGAGATGTTAGTGCTTGATATAAAGGCTTAGATACGCCAAAATTCTTAGGAGAAAAACAAGAAGGGGCAACGATCTTCAACTTGGCTTGATCAGTTCAAGGCAGTACTCGGCATACAAGAACACAAAAACTCCCAAAAAACCAAAAAATAAAATATGAACAATATGATGGAAAAGTACAAGAGAATATATAAACTAGATGTCTTAGCAGAATCTTAAAGCACCAGACAGGAAGTTTTTGGACTGTTTTAATTTTCTTATTGCTTTTGGTGATAATGAGATCTTTGCTAATATAAACATCTTGACAGTTTCTTGGTCTAGTCCTAGATGTATGTTCATGTCTCAGCATATATTGGGAAATTTACTAACCTCCCCCAACTTTAGAGCTGAAGTCTATAAATTGCTTGCTTTTATAAGGTTATACTAACTGTTATTTCTTTCGACTTCTGCTTTACCAAGATTTAACACATTAATTTCTCTGAAACAACATTTAAAGTCACCTCTCATCTGTACATACTTCTGCACACCCCTCTAACCAATGTTCTCAACCCATATGCTCTTACCTGCAGACAGTGATCTATATAAGATGTAGCCATTGCTTTACATCGTTTACAGCAGCAACTGAACCTGTACTTTGACCACAACTCTGATTGCCTCATCACCTGGAAGAAATTAAAATCACTTGAGAAAACTATTTGATTTCAGATGAACTTGAACTGATTATGGAGTAATATTATTTTTCCTTTTTTTTTCTTTTTGATAGTTGACAAATTTTACGTAGGACATAGAAAAGAACTCTCAGGAACTTAGTAACTGTCATCATTACAATATACTGGATTCTACAATTGAGAAAAATGTAAACAATCAGTAAGAACATAAATAAATCCAATTAACAACATCGCATTGGTATTATCCAAATCCTAACAAGCACTGAAACCAGCATTTCATTCTGTCACAGGAAAACTTACCTAAACTGGGAAGTATAAAAATAACAAGAGAAAACTTTCAGTTAAACGTGATTTCAAAGGTTCTCCATCAAGGAACATGTGATAAGAAACAGCAACACATTAATCAATTACTGAAACTACCCCAATTGATTGTCTATTTTAACCGGCATAGAGATTAACACTGAAATTGACTTATAACGTATTTTTTTATAAGCTATAATGTATTCAAGTATATACAGGAGCTTTCCTTTTATTAAAAAAATTATACTTTACTTGATTAAAAAATAAATAGCTATAATGTATTCTAAAAGAAAATTGGGCTCAAAAGTAAATCTACAATAGATTACCTCAACTTTAAGATTTTATATGGATAAAAGTGGTCAATTTATCTGTTTTGAAGTAGTATAATATTCAAATATACTGAATAAAGGTGGAAAAGGTTCCTAGTTTAGGTAAGTGAACATCATCTGAAAGTTGGTAAATCTTCTAGGGACAGAAGGAGTAATATACAATCAAGATGTTAGGGACCCTAAAATATAGACATCTGATTAAGATTCTCCAAAATATTTTATCCGTTACTGTTAATGAGGTTTGATGTGTACGTAAATAGCTGATATTCTTGAAAGTATTCCGAGGAAACAAGTAAAAAAGAGAAATCAGGCCTTGAGCTTATCATATTCAGTGAACACAAGTGACAAGTTCTCTAATATCTTCACAGTACTGAAGTTCTTCATTCCCTGGAATTACTTGGTAACATGGTGACACTGATGCCAGAAGGTAGGTAATGAAGTGTAATGAACTTGATGCTATCGTCAGAGAAGTATCTTGAGCATATGTAGTGCTCATCATTGCTCTGACAGAACGTTATGGGGCAGGAAAAGAATATTGAAACAAATATTCCTACGTTCAGAAAAGGGTACTGCCTTCAATCCCA